AGAGAGAGAGAGAGAGAGAGAGAGAGAGAGAGAGAGAGAGAGAGAGAAAGCTTTAAAGGAGAAGCATTTTAGTTGTAGAATTAGGGTGGAACAACACAGTGGCAGAAACGAGGAGGAGTCTGAATTCTGAAGAGAAGAGAGGGGGGGGAGCTTCATTCTCCAGGAGAAAATAAAAGCCTCCAGTTCCCATGCCTCCCCTTGGCAGCTCTTCTTTTGTGATCCATCTAACAGCCTTCTCCTCAATGTTTAATGACAGAAGGTCCAATCAATAAACATTACGGCCCAAACGTAACCCCATCCCACCAGAGACGAACCTTACTCAAACATTAGAGGAGAAAGTTTCCGTCCAACATCTGATAGCTAGCCTAGCAGCCTCAGCAGACAGTTGTCATGTTTTGCCTGCGGCACTTTAGAAACCCTCTCTAATTCCCCCGGAGCTTAAACCTGATCCCTCCAACCTCCTTCACATACTAAATACCCCGGCTGACCCTTCACATCTGGTATCCGGAAGTATTCATCCTCTACACACAAGATGAATCCATCAGCTGTATGCCCTTAAATCTAACAATTATTCATACATCATTTGTTTAATGTAAATGTATTTACCTTAAAGAAAACATTTGATTGTACATTTAAAAATGAAATTCTTTCTGCCGTCTCCACAGTCATCCCGCTTCAGATCTGGAGAAATAATACAAAAAAGAAGCGTTGGTCATTTATCTCCTTCATTGGTCCTTTGACAGTTCAGACATCCTTAATGTGTGCGCCAGCCCGTAACCTGTCGTCACATCTCCTGTGTGTTCCTCCAGACTGGCAGAGTGGTATGTCAGTGCCTGCAGACATCGCCATCGCCTACCTGATCCAGGGCAGCTTCTATGGCCACTCCATCTATGCTACGGTCTACATGGACGCGTGGAGGAAGGACTCGGCTGTGATGGTGGTGCACCACATCATCACACTGGCACTCATCAGCTTCTCCTACGCCTTCAGGTACTAGTTTAATGTGTCTGCCTGTTCAGTCTAAACAGAGTAGAGAGTAAGGTTTGCTTTTTGTAGTTAAATGAAAATCTAATTAATGCACAGCAACTGAAAGAAAACAGGAATCGACACTGCAATGCACTTTATCTTTCTTTTGCAGACTGACAATGTCATGTGCACAATTACAGCTTTACTATACATGCTTTAGGGGGGTTGCTGGTTTTATTCCTGTATTCCTGACTTAGAAATATTAGAAATAAGCTGAACTGTACATCCACTGTACCGCGCGCTCCCTGCCCCTCAGATACCACAACGTAGGGATCCTGGTGTTGTTCCTCCACGACATCAACGACATCCAGCTGGAGTTCACCAAGCTCAATATCTACCTGAAGTCCAGAGGAGGAGGCTATCACCTGCTCAACGACGTGCTGTCCAACATGGGCTCCGTCAGCTTCAGCATCACCTGGTGAGGCTCAACAGACGCACACACACACTCAAACACTCTCTGACTTGTTTTTGTTGTCTTGTCTGTTTCTCATTCACTCATGAAGATGAACAGACATACATTTCTACCTCTGGTTTCTATCGTGTTCTCTCAGGTTCTGGTTCCGTCTCTACTGGTTCCCTCTCAAAGTGCTGTACGCCACATGTGTGTCCAGCCTCCAGTCTGTCCCCAACATCCCCTTCTACTTCTTCTTCAACACTCTTCTCCTGGCGCTGCTGCTCATGAACATCTACTGGTTCTTGGTGAGGACGCTCAGGTTTATTAATTCAAAACCCACAAATAATCTACAGTCAATGTGTGTGTTTTGTCGAAACTGCAACGACACAATCTGACTTCGGTGTGCTTCCTGTTCCTCCCCTTGTTCTGTGTAGTTCATCGTGGTTTTCGTAGTGAAGGTGCTAAAGGTGAAAGAGGTGAACGACGTCCGGGAGTACGAGGACGAGGACGGCATCAAGGCGGCAGCCGGACTGCTCAGAGAGCCCCGGGCAGAGAACAACGATGCTGATGCTGGACATCACAACTCCGCCCAGGGGTGAGCTCACACCATCACGCCCTGTCTTCTAAATTCATCTGACAGCGAGACCTCAGCTCAGGGTGGAATAACACCACCAGCCAACTGCTGGCTGCTTTTTACTTTAAATGTTCAATCTGACCACCAGCTTAAGGTGCTATTTGTAGAACTTCCACATCAATAAATCTTTAGTTTGAAGACTTGAGCTCCTGTAAATAAACACATTTTAAAGTTGATTTTGTATGCACATGTAGCCAGGTGTGTTGTTATATTCTGATGAACAAAACGAAGAGTCTACAGCCATGCTAGCAGCTCTGCGGGACTGTACTCAGGCACAGTGTTGCTATGAGCTAATGTTAACTATTCGAGGTGATTGATTAGAATAATATGAAGATTCACAAATAGTTTGTGTCTTCTTTCATAGAAACCATCAAGTTACGTAATGGTGATCTCTTCTAATGTAAAAATAAATACTCAACACTCCAAACGAGGATATATGCCAACCTGACTAAAACCAAAGTGTATCTGCTGGCGCCTTTATCTGAACTCATTGATTCACCGGTCGTTATCTGAGGAGCCGCCTTTAGCCTCCTGACTGTTATGTGTCCCTCTGATTATCACGGCAGCCTTTGACCACCGAAACTCTGAAGACGTCGGCACAAAAAAATCTACTCGTGTGTGTTCACAGGACGAAAAAAGAAACTTGACACCGTACAAGCTGTCGTGTTGTGGTCCGACGACTTGATAACTCATTCGGACAATTGTCCTCACATGAAGTCCAGGTGTAGATGCAGAAGGAGCAGATCTTCCTCTGAGCTCGTTTAACTAGCGGCGCTCACAGGGAGATAGGATCAAAGAGCCTGAGGCCATATGGAGATGCGATTATGTGGCACTCTTTATCTGCCTGGCCTTGGCCACTGCTGATATCCTCTCTGCCTGCTAATGCCTCACACCCGATCACCTCACCTGACAAGCTTATGCTCCTGTCCTGTCCTGCGCTCTCTCAGTTCCCCTGACTCTCTCTCTCTCTCCCTCGTCTCTCTTTCACCAGGAAGCAAGTGCAGAATGGGGTCACCAAAGAGAAGCACCTATAACAGGCTCTCCGTCGCCACCACCTGGCACCGGGCTACAAGTACAAGCAAGACAAGACGCCCTCCTCGGACGGCTCACGCTCCAAAAAAAAAAAAAAGTGGCCGAAGGGAAGAGTGTCACGGAAAAGAAAAAAAAGGGAGGAAAATAGCAAGTTGGGGCTGCAATGGGTTTTTACTCTTTTTATTTTGTTTTAGAACATTTCATTTCATCGCTGTCATTTTGTTTTTCTTAGAGCACTGTGAATGTTATTTCAGGTGACTTTTTGTCTTCTTGTTGCAAACTTTACATTTGATAGATTCAGGAGGAACAGAAACCAGCTGGAGTGAGAGTCGGACTGTAGTGCAGGGTGTCTCGATCATCACAGCGCCGCAGCACCCAGACAAGGAGACGTTTATCGGCCTGTCGTGGTTCTGTAGACATTTAGACCAACAGTAACCCTTTAGCAACCCGGTAAACGAGCAATATGCTAAATTCTATAAAGGGGGGAGAGCTGTGTTTGCTCGTCTCCTTTAACCTCCGTCCATCTTATCTGACCCAAGACATGAAGATAAATGGCTTAGAATCACCATTCAAAAGGGAAACGTTTGCGTTGTTCATCGGTATCACTTTCCGCGGCTGCAGAGAGGCATATAAGAGCCTGTCTGGCGAGTACAAGCTGCTGTTTCACCACATGTATTGATTTTCATATCATTGCACAAATCCGTGGTGGTGACCGCACAGCTTGGCGTCCATTAGTATGAATCGAAAAAGCCACATTTGGTGTGTGTAGGTATGTGTATGTTAGGTGTTGTAGGATGGATGTAGCTGGATCTTTAAAATCCTTCACAACATTTCACCTCTGAGTTTACATGTTCTCTCTTGTACTGATGATCGACGGGCATTGGGAATATTTAATTGTATAGAAAAAGCTTTTTTTTTCTTTCCTACGTGTGCTGCAAAGCATCTGTTGCTGCACTGACATGAAGGCATGCAAGCTGGTTGCTGGTTTAATGACAGCAAATAGCTAGAATTGATTGACTGGGTTTCAGTATCATCCTCATCATCCTCATTTGTTGAAACAATATGGATTTGATTAACATTTATAGCCGGTTTGTGTGCGGTGGCGGCTATCGGGTTCATAGAAAATTGGAACAAATAGCCCAGAACTTGTGTAAAGATAAAGATCAGTATGACGGAAAAAATAATGTATGCACACATTATGGTATTCAGGACTGCATGACATCGAATGATTTTGGAAATATGCTCTGAAATTGTCTTACAAACAATGAAGAAAAAAAAAAAGTCCTCTAGCTATGTAATCATAATGTCTTTATTAATGTAAAAATCCTCCTGAAGACCGAATTCTTTGAAGCAGCAGTAACCACTGAACACACACACACACCAGTGTGTGATCAGCTCTCCTGTGGCATTTAAATGTGTGTGGATCTATTGCAGACACGCATTAAGAGATCAGATTAACGTCTATTTCCTCCCAGAAATCCCACCTACGGGAAGATTGTTTTTTCCAAAACATTCAATTAAACTTTGGCGAAAAGGTTTCCCTTGACTCGAGGAGTTACACTAGATCCCATTCGTTTGTGTGTGTGTTAGTGGAAACAGCTGTTGCACCTGTAAAAAAAAAAAAGAAGGGATATTTCTATTCTTCCTACCTTCTCAATCAAATTCAAGCTCTTGTTTCGATGAACGGCATGCTTGTGCTGCTGGAGCGGGCCGCAGATGTGGCGCTGTTTTAGTTTTTCTGTTTTTGTCTTCCACGATCCCCAAATCAGCACATGAGGGGAGTTTTACTTTTGTATTAAACTATCACTGTTATTGCTGTAGTTCAGGTTATCATTGTTGATTTGTTTTGTTTTTAATTGCTGCTGTTTTTTTTTCTTTTTCTCTGAGATCACTGTTGGTATTCCAGTTTCTTTTTTTTTTTTCCTGCGGTGTGCAAGTCGGTGATGGGGAGAGTTGTTTTGCTCATCTACATCACCAGGATTTAGTCTCAGATCTCTAAATGCAGGCTCACACTCATTTTGCTGTAGTCGTTACACAGCTGTACTGTAAAGCAACGCGGTTTATCAAACACATGTTGCCGTGTGTAATATATCACACGATCAGAGTCCCGTGGCTCACTGGTTTTACTCGCATGGTGTTCTGGCAGGACGAGACCTCCGAGGTCTCGACTGCTCAACTGAGATGAGATCTGCTGATATTTTTGTTGATTTGGTGACAGATGACGGGAGTTTGCAGTAAACCCACAAAAGACCTGTGGTCTGGATTAGATGTGTCTGGTATGGTACTGTGTGCGAAAGGAGCACCCTCAGTCTCTCCCCCAACTGTCACGCTGCAGACAGCCCTGCGATGCGATGTGTGAACAAGCAACTACAACTATGAGGGCTGGGCGATATGACGAAATGCACCATCAGAGGATATTCATTTGCTGTACTGTTAACACCGGGGCGTCAATGTTGTAAATCCACGAGCGGTTGTATGGAAATATTGGATTTTATAATTTAGCATCTAAAGTACTTAGTCTTTTCATGGGTTACCCCAAAAACAGCTGCAGCAACGTCCAGGTGTGGATTAGATATAAGTCAATTGTTAAAATGTCAGTATGATGTGAAATAAATTGTAACCATGTCGCCCACCCCTTACTGCTACCCAGACATGACACAATGATCTGAAATTGAAGGGGGGAAAAAAAACATGAAATTGTATGTATTTGGCTGATTCTTATTTAAACGTCCGAATTGTCGGAAACACGTCGCACGTGAAGCTCAGTTCGGTCAGACAACTGGCGTTGTTAAAGCACAGACTTGATACCTGATGTCTCGTCTCTGACCTCCTCACTCTCTGTTTGAATAAACCAAAATCAGCTCAGAGGAGGTCCGGGAGCGTTTACTGATCAGTTTGCAAAGGCAGCAGTGTCGCAGGGAGAAGAGTACGATGGATTGGATTTGCCATCAACAAAGAGAAAGTTAGGGAGTGACGATAAAAGAAGCAGTGTTTATAATTTGCAGTATGAAAAAAAACATTTGGGTCCAGGTGCCTGACCTCGTCACTCCCTGATCCTGATGTGTGGAAACGAGCCGTAAAAGGAGCAGCGTTTGCAAACTGAGCAGTGAAGGCTGTGTGCATCGGATCTGTAGGATTAAATATGACACGCAAGTTGTCCGCCTGAACCGGCTCACAGGCTGAGCCTCCATTATGACAGAGTATTTTCATGAGTGCTTTGATTGTGCCAAAATGTCCATCCACATTATGAGGCAAGTGTTTGTGGGAGCGGGTGAAGAGCAGAGAGGAGTGACGGGCGGTAAAAGCCCTGCAGGTATTTCTTCTAAATTGCACTGTAATTTATTGATATTATTATTGTTCATTAGATCAGAAAAAGGAGATTTGGGGAATTTTTATGACTTTTTCTGGGGTGAAAAAAAAGGTAACTAAAACATGTTAATTTAAAGTTTCTGGATTATTGATTGTAATCGGTACAAATTGACCCTTTTGTTTTTGACCACTTTCTAAATCGGACCACTTGATGAAGACACACTTGCTCTTTTGAAATGCAATTTTAATACCATTCAGCCAATGTTATCGTTTCATTTTTTCCCATAAAATAAAACATGTCAGTAAAACAAGAGACTCGTGATTTCTTTAAACTTTTTTTATTTTTATTTTAAATCACAACTGATGTCCGTTTCATTGCAAAGATCAAGTGTTGTGGATGAGGCGAAACAGAGTTCAGACCAGAGGAGAGTTCAGTTCAGTGCATAAATGAAAACTAACCGCTTCAATAAATTAAAAAGTCATATGTACCACACAGTATTTCCCTCATGTTGGTAATGCAAAAAAAAAAAAAAAGGGGGGGGGGGGTCACAGGTCATGCGCTAAAACATGGAAAATACAAAAATGCAAAAACACACCATTCACCCACAAGGCAAGATTAGGGCAGAGAAGAGTTCAAGGAAACACTGCAGCATTAATTTTACACACACACCAACTTAATCTAGGCGAGTTCAAGATATTTGTCCACATTTAATCCAACATCTTTTGGTGTTATTTCCCATTTTAAGACATCTGGTGTACAAATGCTGCAGTGCTGGCTCGACCAAAATCTTGACACGTCTTTAAAAATGTCGGATTAAATCAAATCCCATTATTGCTGCAGTCAGCAAAAGGTCACATTCAGCAGATTAAGTTTTCCACTGATAAAGGGGCGGAGATTTATCTCGTCATGACACGGTGTTGTACTACACTTAGAGAAACATGTCTGTTGCACGTGACCTTTCTTTAACATGTTTTTAAAATCAGCAGGACTTTTTTATCCATTCAGGTAAAAAAAAGACAACTTTAAGTCACAGCAACAGAAATCAAACTTCATCTACAGAAAGAAATGGCACAAAAAGTAAGAAGGAAAATTTCAAGGTGGAATCAGCTTCAAATTTCTACAAGGTTATAGATTTAACAGGAGATTAATACATTAGTATTTGGCAAAGATTTATTTTGCATTAAATTAAATGTTTCTGTTAATAAATGCACTACCAAGGCAAATGAATCAGGATAATCTAAACACTACTTCACATTGTTTTAGACAGCTCATCTTATCCGTAAACACTATTTGTCATTTTCACTACACATCTAAAAAGGAAAAGTTCAGATTTATTTTCAAGTCTGTCTCAATGTAATACTCTTATGCTCATTTATGAAATGTCGCCAAATACTTTGATAATTTGTTGCCTTTCTAGGTTTTATATTGTTGTAAATATTTATATTGTTGTCACTTGTTCTCTTCGCCTGACAGAAAAGGCAATTTGAAGACATCACCTTGGACTCTGATAACCTGCGTTGAGCATTTTTTCACTATTTTACACGTTTCATTCTAAGCAATCAATCGAGTCTTATGAATGCTGAGTAGGAGCCCTGAAAGAGATGGAAGACAAAATCCACAGACCTGTCTGTGCCGTCAGTACCCTCTAACGTTAACTGTCTTCTTAGTATGAAACTCCCTCTGTGTGACTTCACCGACGGTGTTTCCTTGATGAGCAGTGGGGGCGAGAACAGAACGAGGACTGTGGATTTAGGAGGGAGTCCGTACGGTAAGAAAGAACTATTACAAATACCTCTTTATGAAAATGTGAGTATTGTATTCAAGCAGATTAAAAAATGTGAACTTTTCCTTTAATTAACAACCAGGTTGGGTGAACACATCTGACAAAAAAGAAATTCTGGACTAAACTCTGCGTGGTCGGTTTCTCCCCGTAGCTGCCTGAGACGACACATGACGTCGGTTTGGCAGAGCGATCACTCGTACGGTGAACGGAGAGGACTTAATCTCATCTAGATCTCAGAGGTGCGGAACAAATGCTTTACATCCCCTCACAAGAGCGAAATAATGAAATATGTCCCGACGTGAGGGATTATTATAAATGAATGACGAGACATCTGTGTTCATGAAGACGGGGAGAGTAAAAAAAATGATTCCTGATTTATTCCGGTCCGTGAGACCAAATGAATTAAGTGGGCAGCAGGACAGGATCCGACATCACAGTCTGTGGATCGGGATGAAAGAAACGGAAGAGATTCTGCTGGTTTGAAAACCATCATGAGAACAGCAGCTCGGACCAGCTGCTGCGTTCTTACTGGTAAAAGTTCCTGGATTTGTGGAAAAGTGTGGGGATCTGGAAAAAAAGAAAAATGGTGTCGTGCACCTTAATGGGTCTTGGTCTTGGGCTGAGTGATTCTACGTACGACGCTGTAGAGGACTCCAAAGTTCTGCAGAAGAGGAGCAGAAGACAAGAGTTCATTTTATTTTGCCAGAGAGGAAGACCCACAAAACATCTGCACGCTCACAGACCTTTGACAGACATGGAATACTAACAACAATACCAATACTAACAGGTCTGCTTTGATCTCCTGAGGGAACTATCTGACTCTGTAGCTACTAAATGCTGCTCTGTGTTCACCAGTTAGTCGCTAACTCTGTCTGGTGCTGAGCAGGTCTTGTACACTGGTCCTTTAGAGCTTATTTGCTGAATACGGCTACGTTAATGGAGAGCAATGAGGGTCAATTTACAGACCAAAAACAATGAGCCGATACATCGTTATTGTAAAATAACGGTTATCGTATGAAAGAGGCTACAGTCTACTGCATGAGCACAGGGACTTACCTGGATAGCAAGATACATCACCCCTAAGTAGGCTGCAATGCAGACAGCCAGCAGCAAGTCAAAAATAGCAGGCTTCACTCTAAGAGGGGAAACACAGAATGAAAAATCGTCTTTGACATAAATGTGAAGGCTTATTTTAATGTTTGGTCTTTTACTAGTGTGGACAAAAAGACACAAGTCTGAAATGAAGTTAACTGAGGACTAATTTAGTGCAGACGAGATGGCCTCACGACTTCACAGACAGCTGGAGAGCTTTTACAAAGCTACAGTAAATCAGCATGAACTGCAGTAAAGCACCTCGGAGAAGGAGAGGAGCTCATTACGGCGTACCTGTAAGCGTTCATAGTCTGCTTCAGCTGGTCGTAGAATACAAACTCTGGATCCCTGAGGACAAAACAGAGAATAGATGTTAGATATACAGGAAAGACTGAAAACTGTTTGAAGGTTTGCGACAACATATTTTGAGCATTTAAGCATCCAAGTTCTGTTATTCTTAAAGTAACAACCGAGCGTTAATCTTTCACGTCCGCCTCCGACCTGTTCTCTACCTTTTGTCAGCTTTGACGTAGTGTCTTTTGACGTCCTTGAGGTAGTGTCCGAGGTGATACTCCAGAGTGGACACCACGCTGCTGTCTTTGTCCACCAGCTGAGCGGCTCGCGGCTGCGCTGTGAGCCAGTCCACCACCGCCGACAGCTGCTCGTCCTGCACCTGCTGACGCGACACAAACTGCATTACAACAGCGGCGTGCAGTACGAGCTACACACAAAACAACCATCCGGATATAGCAGATCTGTATATTGGAAATAATTATTAAGAAAAGCAATAATTTATAGTTATGTGGAGGTTTTGCTTTCAGTTTTAACAACAAAAAGTACTAAAATAGCACCATTTTGCACAGATTCTGTCTCGATAAAGAAAGAAATAATAATGAGGGGAAATTGTTGCTACTGCCGTTTATTCTAGAGATGCGTTACCACCATGCCCTCGCAGTTTTGTCACTCACCATCTGTTCAGTGAAGATCTGCAGGTCCCCAGGAGCCCCCTGTGAAGCAGAGTACACACACACACACACACACACACACACACACACACACACACACACAGAAATGTCACATCACAGGCAGAAAGCAGACAAGAATCTAGAGTCGTCTCATTTTCTCCATCTGTGTGTTTACCTTCTCGGTGAGGTTGTAGATGACCCTGGCCAGTGCCTCGGCTACCAGCTTGGTGTTCCTGGTGAGTTTCTCCACATCTACATAAGGCCTGTGAGACACAAACACAAGTGTGCAGACAGTTAGAGGAGGTGGAAAGACTCCAAGAGATAAACCGGGAACCCTCTGAAGCAAGAGAGAGAGCCAGAGAGCGAGAGAACGAGAGAGAAACCAATTACAGAGAATCCATTTCCACACAGGAGGGCTGAAATGGAGGAGGTTTGAGAAAAGAAAACAGAGCAAATATCAAATAAACTGATAGGAACGGGGTCAAGTTTCAAACTGTAACACATAACCGATAAATAAAAAACAGCCAGAGAGACGGGGGGGGGGGGGGGGGGTGGAGGGCTACAGGAGCATGAAATGACCGGCCGCTGGGATGGAAACTCTTTTTTTCGGTGATTCAGAGACTTGCAGTAATGAACCCACCCAGCAGGGGGCTCTCCCGCTCCGTGGCGAGAGGAGGGGGACACTGACCGCGAGTCCATGATGCTGAAGCGCTGAGCCAGGCGATGGGAGGGCAGGTGGGACAACGTGAAGGCCGGCAGGCGGCGGATCCCGAAGCGCTCGTGCTCCCAGGCCAGCATGTCGTCGGCCAGGTTGATCTTCTTGTGGACCATGGAGAACTTCACCTCCGGGTACTGACTAGCGGCCACCTAAGAGGAAACGGGAAATTATATCCTATAATCTTATATATGATCTGGGTTTAACGAGAAAAAGTGGAGCAAAACTATAACCAGGAAAAACGTAGAAAGAACATTTTATTTGAGTTTAAATTTAAGTTAAAGCGCACAAGTTAACTTGTGAAGCGGAGTTAAAGAGGGGATGAAATAATCAGACTGAGGTGCATCAAGCCTCGAGGGTCTTACCAGCTCCAGCTCTTTAAGTAGAGAAAACTGAGGAGATCCCTCTTTAGGAGGTTTGGACACATGGAGGTGCAGAGAGTCTCCGTTCCCCAGGGTGTCCAGACACAACACGAAGGCGACGTTGTCCTGCAGCAGACTGGAGTCTATCGAGAAAGGGAATATAATAGAATATTCAATATCGAAAGACAGAGGGGGTGGAGAAAAAGGGCACAAAAAAAGCTGCATGAATACTTCGCATGAAAAGCCTTGTTTGAACACAACAGTACCTGTATGGTCCAGATTGTCCTCCAGCCAACGTTTGGTGCCCTGGTAGTTGAACTTTCCCCCACCAGATACAAAGAACAGCAGGTTGTACCTGAACAACAGGATCCACACATGAGTAATCTACAAGGGAGCCTGACAGAGGATGTGTGATGAATCAATGTACAGACAATCACAAGGCCTTAAAATGACGGACAAATCAAGTGAGTAGTGCTGACTTTGTCTTCCACAGAGCATGTTACAGTAAAGTCCATTACTCCTTTACTAACCACTCTCTGGAAGACGTCTTTCTGTTAGAGTCCTTCCACTCAGCTACTGTTAAGTACATTTAGACGGAAGAATGAGCCTGTACCGTATTATTGACCGCTTTAAGTGTTTAACACACAGTCCGCTGTGATTCTTACTGCCAGCAGAGTGCACAGATGACGTTCAATAGAGTTCTCAAAAAGCATTTGGAGCAGGACACTGACCAGAACAACTGTGATGGACAAAACAAATAAGACTTTATCTTACGTTCAGACGGACCACTGAGGTCAGCAATCAATACCACTTCGACCATTTCATCCTACACACAATGCATAAAGTGAGTGCGCAGCATAGAGCACACCGGGGTGTCGACTGAGACGGTTCATTCATCTAGTTTTGTGACGGAGCCTCCTGACTGAGCTGGGTTTTCTGTTTTGCTTGTGTTCATTTGTTTGATTAAAGACCCCCGGTAAACTGCAGAACGGACTCTGCCTTTGATTGCTTTGCTGACACTATTTTCCGCGTCCTCCGTACAATCCTGTTAAAGCTAATGAGACACGAAATGATCCAAAAACAATGTTAAAGTGAGTGCCGTCCTCATTACTCACCCAGCATGTGTCCTCTTGTAGGTGTACAGTTTCGAGAAGAGACGAGCCAGCTCTAGTAACATGGACACCCCGCTGCCGTTTGAGTCTGCTCCGTACGACAGCCACTGGACGGACGGACACACACACACACACGCACACACGCGTGCACACACGCACACGGGTTACTCTCCTGGCCTGCTCTCCTTTTACAGACAGTTGTGTTGCATTACTGTACGTTTGGAAAGAGTCAGGGCTTATTTGTAAGAGAAAAGAAGCTGTGAACATACGGGAGCAACACCAAAGGAGTCGTAGTGGGTGACCACCACAATAGTGGGCAGGTCCTCTCCTCCAACTCCAGCCAGACGACCCTGGTGAAGAAACACAGAGCCATTAGATGAGCGACGTAAAAACAGAAGCAGATTATCTAGATCATGAGATTCAGCTGAACCAACGGCACCCTGCTGATAAAAGCTGTCAGGCTGCCGGCGTGACAGTGCAGTGGGCATCAGTCACATTGGACCTCAGGGTCTCCTAATCCCCTGCAGTGGGACTAAACAGCCTTTTTTCTCCTCCTGGTTTTAAAACAAAACCGTAAGAGCAAAATAGAGAGAAATCTTGGTTAGATACTGTGTAAATTTAAATAATTGCAGCAAAATATATTCTCAATTTAAACTGCACTAACTAAAATCCCAGGCGTTCAGTCCACACAACGGTCTTTGTTCCAGGACTTAAGGGCTCCCACATGAGCAGAACACATTAAAGCTTTACTATTACATCAAAGCCACAGAGACTTTTCACCCGTTTCTCAAACATCTGACTTGAGAAGCGGTTTTAAAATCTTTATTGTGCAACAGACAGAACATGTTAATGAAATACAGAAATGGAATTTAACAGAGAAGCCTTACCAAATCAACAACTAAGAGTAGCGTTTTAGATATCTTGCAAATGATTATTACCTCACCAAAGAATAATCAATTAAAGTGTACACAGTCTCATTAAATTCAGGTTTTTAGTGCATCTGAGCTTCAGGCATGTTGACTGTGGGAGGAAACTGGATCAAGCACCCAGAGGGAAAACTACGCCAATTAAAACTCACTCAACAAACAAAGACGGAGGTAAATCCAGGGCATTCTTGCTGCGAGTCAACGGTCCTAACAACCAAGACAAGCCTGACGTAACGGTAACATGCAACCCTCTGACTGGTGCTCCTGAAGTTTATTTCTGTGTACAGGAACACTACGGGTACTTAAGTTTTCCATTTCAAGTTGACTCTTCAAAAGAAATCAACATAGTTTATTAATAATGAAAATAAAAGACTGAACTTACAATACTGAAATCTGTCTTACTAGTGATTACATACTTTTGTTACATGATTCCGGTGACAGTGTCCCTTTATGAGGGCTTGTGTGTTTAAATCAGCCCATTCTAGTACACTTGTCTTTAGACTATAGTTAAAGTCTCTCACCTCTAGACTGGTGATGGCCCAGTCACTGACGGCTTTACTCTGAGCTCCACTGGTTACCATCTGGAAGCCGTTGGCTGTGGCTGTATGCAGCAGCACTACAGAAATCAACAGAAAACACAGCATTAGAGTTGACCGACTTGCAAAGTGCCCATTCCACATGACCAGCTTTTCCCATCTGTTAATCATAGGAGGCCTTTTTCCATCATAAATGTATGAATTCTGTGTATAATGCAGACAGGCAGACAGCAGGTCCGGTCTAGAGGGAGTGGCTCGCTACCTTCTGCTGCTGACAATGAGCCCTGTGAGGAGGAGGAGGTCAGGGTTTGGGTGTAGATGGACAGCAGCTCATCGTCCTCCATGGCAAAGTAGACGGGGACGATGGTCTCGGTGGCCAACATCTCCGGCTCCAGCTCCATGAAGTGCTACACATGATATAAACAGAGGGGACCGGCGTGTTTAACAAGCTACGACACACAGCTCCGTTTGCTAGCGTGAGATGCTGACGGATTAAAACTGAAAAAAGGGGGAAATCTGATTTAATTCCTTAAACCCTACAAGTTCAACATTGCTTCAATAGGAAGCAGGAGAGAAACAGCATTACAGATTAACCTTTTGTCTCTTCAACAACTCACCAAAAATGGAATTTAGTTACATAAACAAATGAGTAACTTATGAAATGCCTACTACTTGTGCTTTCCAGAAACACGAATCTAACTCATACAATTGGTCAGTGTGCTTTGGTGAGAAAACATCCAATCTCTGTCACACTAAGCTTGGTGAAGTTAAGTGGAAAGCTTAAAATATAGTAAACAGGATGGTGATGTTATTTAAATTATGCATTGGGATTATGCCTTTCCTTTTGGATGCCCCTGAGCAAGGCACTACTAACCCAAATAAAATTCAATCCGAAACAGATAAGCTTATGGCTGACTGTGTGATTAGGGAGCAGGGTGCTGCTCGGTTGTCTCAAATAAAGTTGGGCATTAGTTAGGGACGCTACTCATGACTTGTACCATGCATAAAGTCTGACAACAAAATGTACACGGCTGTAACTCTTAATAATCTTCTTGTTGTGCTTCATAGTGTAGCTCACATTCACTTGAACCACCACCCTCCTTTTGCATTGTTGAAACAGTGGAGGATGAAGGGAGAGAAAAGATACGCAGCACAGGTATTTGATTTCTGGCATTAAAGTGTGTTATCACCTGCACTATGTCCTGGGGCATAGCAGACATGTTCTTGGGCAGGATGATGACCACAGCTCCCGCTGATTGGCGCAGGGCTTTCTGGTACTCCTCGTAGGAGAATTCTGCCAGCCGCATTATAACACAGCGGCGACTTAGTACCTCTGCTTCCACAGTACGAGCCTCCGTATTCAGGATGGCATTCCTGGTACCTGAGGGTAGGAGACACACTGATCATCAATTATGAAGCAATAACTCTTGACTTTATGTCGAAAGGAAAGGGCAAGAGGTGCTATTGCTGAGGCTACAACAGAACGAATCACAACCTATATGACACACACACACACACACACTTTCACAAAGTGGCTGGGGTTTGGTTGATCTGTTTGTCAAGTCTTGTAGCTTTCATTAATCCTAATCTAAGAAGTGCCACATAAATAGTCATTACGACTGTTGTTGTATCCCTATAGGAATTTAAGACAGAAGCATATTTGCAATGTTGCTAATGTAATGACACGAATACTCGTGGACTGGATGTAGTTCGTGATATACACGTAAGAGTGTCGCTCAGATGTAATTTTAAGGAGTAACGTTAAAGATTATGATTTCCTTCAAGGAAATGAGCTAGCTTGTTGTTCCCTACTAGCTAAGCTAAGCTACATTAGCACCCCGCTAGCTACTGCTAGCCTGCATTGAGTTAATGTTAGCTGCAGACAACTGCGAGCTATCTCGTGTTTGATGTTTGGAGATCGCTCTCGTTACTGGTCGAGTCAACTGTAGATGTGCTTACATGTATTCCTTCGTGATAAAGTAGAGGAGCAGCTGACTTACCGTAGGGCTGTCCCTGCAGGTCGTACTGCTGCATGCGGTACACGGTAAACTCGTGTGCCGCCTCGGCCGGGAGCGGTGACACCAGGATCAACACCGCGGGGATAAACACAATGAAGGTTAGGGGAAACGAAGATTTAAACATGTTATCGAACACTTCGCTAGCCTCCTCGAACATTGTGGCGATTGTATTGGGCGCACAGCTAGGGATGAAATAATATGTTCAGCTGTCACTGCTTTCAGCAACTGACAGGCAGGGACCCAGGTTAGCTTTAGCTAGCTAGCTTATCAACCGCTATCCGCATCTGACAGATAATTCTGATCAGGCAAATAGCGGCCAGCTACTCTACCGCGACACTGGGACCAGAACAAATGCAACACCGTTGCCTGTTTCTAAAAACGGAGCAAACGGATATTGTGTGTTTGTTAAAAAGTACGTGTTTGTCTATACTATTTATCCAGTTATTTAATATATAAAACTGAGCTGCGTTGAATCAACAGTCCTTCAGGCATCATCCAGGGCAGCTATAATTAAAGGGCCGTGTTCTTTAATGACACTAGATGGCGCTGTACACTATATAAACTAACCATGATAGAGGCCCTGTGATATTATTGGCTGGATTACAATATAGCATTATGTTGATATTTACAGTAAAGGTTCAGACCTTAGTTAAAAGTTTGGCCTTTCCTGGGAGAGAGGGTGACCCATGTACTAAGGCCTTACCACAGCGGCCTGGGTTCCTTTCCAGTATGTCGTCCCACTTTGCAAAAACAAAACCTTTTATCTACATCTATGTTTGTAATTCACCATGTAAACCTAATGGCATCAGAGGTCCAGTGCAGAGTTACCATAACTAGGATTTAAAAATACTGTGGGCGTCTTCTTATAATGTTAATGTTGCAAAAAACGTGTGAATTAAAGAAACAACAACAACACTGATTTCTTGGTCTATTATTCCTTGTTAGGTTTTTTTCTTTTCTTTTATTAACCATTTTTGGCATTTGTAACCAAAGTCTTGCAACCGCACCAAAGAAAATAGTTCTGTTTTCCTGTTCAGTGACCGGCTGTTGTCTACAGGATCTTACATTGAGCGCAATATAAGTCGTTAAGTTACAATAATATAAGTAGAAAATACAGGTCGATCACATCCCATGGACGCCCCTGATTAACAGGTTGTTGAGACCCGACATGAATCATCTGCTTCCAGAGGGAGTTGCAGCCAAGAGCAATAAGTCAATCAGACCAAGACAACTGCTGGTCAGTCTTTCTTTTTATTCCCTTGAACTAGTCAGAGCTTTGAATTGGTGATTGTGTGAAAGACACAAAATACATACATTTCAAACAATAGAAAATGTACTTTTTACCATACCAGATTAGGTACATTTCATCTCTGTCTCTATGCAAATTATTCCGCTATGTCTTGGCAGTCATTGAGTTGGCCAATGTGTAACAACAAAAGAAAGTAAAGAAAAACACATTTCAGTATTAATATGCATTTATCTGTATAGTCAAATATTTTAACCACACTGGTCTTGCACTTGGCATATAGATACATTTATTTAATACAATTAAATCATTTCACCGTGGCTTAAAGGGAAACTTAACAGCGTTATAATAAGAAACAGAGCATTTGTCCTGGTCATGGGATCACCAAAAGTAATTTGTTTCAACCAGATCTTTCATCCAAAGTTTTATATCATGAAAAAACAGTAATAAAATGTAAAGCCTGCGACCAATTGGGTGGAGTTCAAAATCCTATTCTCGCTCTCTCTCCTCTCCCTGTCTCCCCCTCCTGAGGCTGCTCTGCTAAGTGGCAGATTAATGCTGATATGATGTCCTGCCATCCCACTTAATGGACCTTGGCGTCATTATTTCCTCTTGTATGAGTAATCCATGCCCGGGCTGGTGAGAGAGGGCAAGCAGCAAACAAAGCACAAAACCAATTTGGCGTGGCCGTTGAAGCTCATTGTAATGATTTCACATTACTGAGAAATTATCATTTGGAGATCCGCTCACATGATCTGCAGTCTGGCCGAAGGAAAACACACTGATGAAGACAACAGTAGAAGAGAACAATTGTTTCAAGAGAAAAATGCTCTTGTATGGATGCAGGCGTGGGTCACATGAATGTAATTTCTTTCAAATTCATAACATCCTTATTATCACACAATCATCCGACAGTGGCTCAGCAAAAAACGCACCAGGTCACATTTTGTCTCTTGATGTTTCGTCCAAAAACAAAAAAAAATTCCAAACCCGACTGTGTGCACACTACAGCGTAGACTCAAAGGCACACACACACACACACACACACACACACACACACACACACACAAAGACAATGCATGAGCTGTTCCGTGTCCTCATTTCTTTCCAGTGCTCCTGGGAATGTCCTGAATCAGACCAGCCTTTGCTCCCGAACCCCTGGCCACAGAAAAACACTTTCTCTGTGCGACCACACAAAAGGTGCAGTCAGTGTGTGTGTGTGTGTGTGTGTGTGTGTGTGTGTGTTAGTGGGGGTAAGTACCGTGGATTAACGAGAGATTAGCTACCTAGCAGTAAGTAAGCGATTTCTGTGTAGCATGCCTATGTAAGTAGCTCCCCCTTAGCTTATTGCCTCTTCTCATTCTCAGAGGATGCTGTCATTTTCTCACCACACTGAAAGGCTGCTCAAACACTGGCCACACTGAAGTGTTTAAACCGCTCAACGACAAGGTCACAATCACAGAATACCAAAGATGTACTGTAAGAGGGAGTGATTTCTGGCTCCACACAGGCACCACTATCAGCACACAATGGTGGTCTTTCTAACCAAGACCTATGGAGCAGGTCTTCTGAGTCATTCACTCCTTAAAACACACCACCCGCTATATAATCCCCTTGTTAATGAGCAGAAGCTTGAAAACAACAAGGTCCATGCTTCACACTACTTCACACTGTTTGAGCAAGTAAGTCAGTATCAATGGCTCTATAGCCCCATTACACAGTGGCGTGCTGTTTTAAAAGAAAACCCTGTCACACACGGCATCACTTTTTAGTTTGTCTGTTTCACTCACTCTCCTGTCATTTCAGGTCCTGCCACTCAGACTCTACAATCATTCCCCTCACCTGGTCTTCCATGCCTATCTCACCTGCAGCCCAGAACTCTCATTAGTCCCTCAGTATTTCCCCTTGCACTTGGTCCCTGCCAGACTGTCTTGTGTGTTACTGCAAAGCTCTCCAGCATATTTCTAGTTTCTGAATCTGATCTGCACGTTCCGATCCAGCTTGCCCGTTTAGACCTTGGATTTTCTGCCTGCCCCTTTTGGATTTGTTTGCCTGAGTGGCTGATCTCCCGGTTTTGACCCTACCTGAAAATTAATAAGTAAACTGTATCTCTGTCTCTTTGTCGTGCTTTTGGGTTCCAAATTACGTGTACTAGTGATCATTACCCCTAGAAAATTGGTTTAAAATCTGACATTCCTTGTTACGCCACGTTCCGAATGAAAAGGTAACACCACGTTCACACCCAGTAAATACTACCCAATGATAATTTTAAAAACTCCCTTCAAATCGTAACAATCAGTTGCTAGAAATGGGGTATACTTATTGCCATGATTTCATCTTTTAAGGTCTTTTAGGGTGATAACAACCTGGAAAAAAGATCCTGATTGTTTGATTGAAAAAAAGGCCCTGACTGATTATTGATGAGCAGAATTGTTGTCAGTGGCAAGAGGAGTATTCAAATTCTTTAATGTACAAAATACGTAGAAATACTTTGTTACAGGTAAAACTCATACATTCAAAATCTTACTTGTGTAAAGTGGCTCACTCTCAATACTAAATACGACCATCCTTACATTTATTTTCCCTCTCCTGCTGATTTGCAGTTGATTTGTGGCCACAGTCCCAAATCAATTCCCTGGTGGAGGCAGTACTGCCTCCACCAGGGAATTGATTTACCAATCATTTTTATTAAGGCCAGTGGAAACAACACAAATAAAAAGGGAGACCGTCGTGCACGACAGCTGAGCTGCAGCTGCTGAGACTGTGAGCCTATTTGGTTGCGCAGGGCAACAGTCAGATAATGGATGACGAGGCCTCTTGGAGCCAGCCGTTCCATTAGGTTTTGTTAATGCGGTCAGAGGAGGTTGGCGTGGCTCATCCGCCTTCATATCCACTTCCAGAGACGCTCACTCATGCTCGGCAGTGGATTTGTCCTATCTCTCTATTGTCTTACAGTTAACTTCCTCTTGCTTCTTACTCTATATCCTTGTGTTTTCTTACTCGTTTTCTAGTCTCTCTCGCTCACTCTTTCTGTCTTTATTCCTTTTCTCCATGCTTTTTTGGGGAGGCTTTGAGTGGATGCATTCTGTGTGGCTGCTTTGGATTAGTTGGGGGTTTTCTGACAGTATCACCCCAGTCATTGCATAAGAGTAAAAGAGTACATATTGTCTCTGAATTACTGCACCGAGGGATTTGCGGTTGATTCACACTGTTGCAATACAAAATTCCTGGAGGCCTATTTTTGAATTTGTGTGCTTCACAAGCATTTCACTGCAGCATGTGTGGCAAACAGGCCTGTGAAAAGAAGAACATGTGTCATGAACGAGTCATGGACTTGCTGTTTGTACTGTGGGGAGACTGTACATGTAGTGGGCAGAACAGAGAGAAATTCATGAATGGAGACGTGTGTGTGTGTGTGTGTGTGTGTGTGTGTGTGTGTGAAGCAATAACTTTCTACATAATGCTGGGAATACAAGCAGCAAAGCTTTCCTGTCTGTCTTTCCTATTCTTTTGTTCCCATTATGGCTTGCAAAATGTTATTTTGTTTGCACAATTTAAGTACACCATCTATCTATCTATCTATCTATCTATCTATCTATCTATCTATCTATCTATCTATCTATCTATCTATCTATCTATCTATCTCTCTCTCTCTGTCTGTCTGTCTGTCTGTCTGTCTGTTATTTAGCAGGTAGACAGAAACAAGTTGTAGATCGGCTACAACACATTCTTTTTAACTTTATATCCAGTGAATTAAGTGCTTGTTGTTGTTTTTTAATTGACCATTTAAGGGGCATCAGAACAAGTTGTAAACACAAAATTGACATATCACCACCTTATAAAGTTGTTATGGCCTATAAAGGACTTGCCTATTTACACATCCAGCAGACACAGAGCAACATTATCATTTATTTGCAGCCTTTTTTCTTTTCTTTTAGCTCTGTTTTTGGTCTCTCCCAAAGAGAGAGTACACCAGATGGTGTTTGTCTGATGTTTGGTTCTGGACAGGTAGTGTACAGTGTTTCTAGAGCTTTTTCA